AAAATTTTGATTATCCCAGGAGTAGTTTATGAGAGAGTGTCTATTACTAACAACTACTCCGTGTTAATTATAATTTCATATAGTTATAATATCTGGTTTTATCAAATATAACTACAACAAACAAGATTAATTATTTTATTTCAAAAGCTTTTCAAGCCGACATTTACTGATGTAGAGCCAATTATAAAATCTACTAATTGTATGAGCATCAACTGCCTAAAACACGCACACGGACAATGGTAGCTGGATTCGAGGGCTTATGAGGCAGTTACTACTCTGCTTGTTAGCTACTCATCATTGTCATCAATTTCTTCTCTTCACCCTTTTCTTCAAATTCTGTTCTTGGCCGACCTACCTGGTATGTGCACTTTTACCAATTCAGCTCGAATCAAAGATTGGGATCTTTTAGGGTCTAAACAAAGATGGGATTTTTACATCTTGCTTTGTCTTTATGCTGTCTTGTTGTTCTTGGTGTTTTTTCACTGGGACGGTCTTCTTTCACCCCAGTTGATTGTTTCTTGATTGGCTGCGGTAACAGTAAATCTGTAGAATTTGAGGATGGTAGGGTTTTCCAACCAGATTATGGAAACTCTAACGTGGGATTGTTTACAAGTTCCCATGTTGTGGTCTCAGATTCTGGGAGGAAGGGTTTGTCTGATCTTTATAATTCTGCCAGAGTTTTTGCAACCCCTTCCACTTACACCATTAGAAATAACCAGTCTGGGAGACATTGGCTAAGATTGCATTTTTACCCTGTCAAGAACAATGATTATGACTTGAAGGCGTCTTCTTTTTCTGTTGTGGCAAATGGGATAACTCTACTTCACAGATTTTCTCACAGCCAAAATGGGCCGCTAGTCAAGGAATATGTTGTTGAAGTAAACGGGTCGGGTTCGGATGGTTTATCACTGACCCTGTCTCCTCGGTTGGGCTCAGTTGCGTTCATCAATGGATTGGAAGTGATTTCTGTCCCTAAGGGTCAATTTGATTTTGGGGTTGTTCCAATCCCAAAGGATTCTTCAACAACCTCTTTGATTCCTTCCTCCACTGCCCTTGAGACGGTCTACAGGTTGAATATGGGAGGCTCAAGTATGACCTCTGAAAATGACCCGTTTTGGAGGGACTGGAAATCAGATTACCCATTTCTTGTCCATCCTTCTGCCGCTGTGAATGTGAGCACAGATCCTAGATTGGTTAAGTATGCTGCTGGAGTCACGGTTGAGATTGCACCAGATTGGGTTTACGCCACCGTCCAAGAAATGGCTGAGGCCCAAGTAGTTGAGCCTAACTTCAATTTAACATGGGTGTTTGGAGTTGACCCGGGGTACACTTACTTCCTTCGGATGCATTTTTGTGATATTGTCAGTGATGCTCTAGGTGAGTTGATCTTTAATGTTTATGTGAATGAATATATCGCCGTGGATTCTCTTGATATCTCAGCCAAGACAACGGCATTGTCAGTTGCTTACTTTCTTGATTTCACGGTCAATATTTCTGAGGGAGGATCAGAGAACCTTTACATTAAAGTGGGTCCATCTACTTCCGGGAGAGTCCCAGTCAATGCAATTTTGAATGGTTTAGAGATAATGAGGTTGAGTGATTCTAGTAGCCTTGATGTTAACATTGGTATGATTTCCGGTGATTATTACATTGCCTCCAAGACTAAGAAGCATATGATGATAGTGGCTTTTGCATGTTTGGGAAGCTTAGTGATTTTTCTTCTCGTTTTGATTTCTTGTTGTTTCTTTTATGTGCAATTTTCAAACGTATCAGAAAAGGTCAAACCAAAAACTTACGTTTCTTGGGTTTCAAATCTTAATACTAGGAGTTGGGATTTCATTTTAAAACGACATCATGTTGATAGCGGCTTAACACCTACCTTTGGAGTTTCCCCGACCTTTGCTTCATCAATGCCTACTACTATTAGCTCACGACACGTTTTCTCCTTTGCCGATATTCTTGTTGCCACAAAGAGTTTTGATAATGGTTTGGCCATAGGAGTGGGCGGGTTTGGGAAAGTATACAAAGGTATGCTTGAAAATGGGGTCATGGTCGCGGTGAAGAGAGGAAGCAAGAAATCTCAACAAGGGTTGCTTGAATTTAGGACAGAAATTATGATGCTCTCAAAGCTTCGCCACAAGCATCTCGTTTCTCTAATCGGTTTTTGCGAAGAAATGGACGAGATGATCCTCGTGTATGAGTTCATGGCAGGTGGACCCCTCAGGAAACACTTGTACAGTGAGCCCCACCTCCCGGCGCTGTCGTGGAAACAAAGGCTTGAGATATGCATAGGTGCCGCAAAAGGACTTCATTATCTTCACACTGGGGCTGCATCGGAGAGAATCATCCACCGTGATGTGAAGACTACTAACATCTTGCTCGATGAGAATTTGAAGGCAAAGGTGTCAGACTTTGGTTTGTCAAAATTTGGGCCTGCGTTGGACCAAACCCATGTGAGCACCGCCGTGAAGGGTAGCTTTGGGTACCTTGACCCGGAGTACTACCGTAGGCAACAACTGACAGAGAAGTCCGATGTGTACTCGTTTGGAGTTGTGCTCATGGAGGTTCTGTGTGCCCGACCACCTATCAACCCCACCCTCCCGAGAGAGCAAGTGAACATTGCAGAATGGGCTATGCAGTGGCAAAAGGCAGGTCGGGTAGAGGAGATCATTGATCCCCGCCTCTTAGGAAAGGTGAATGAACGGTCATTAAGAAAGTTTGGGGAGACGGCTGCGAAGTGTTTGGGTGAGTACGGGAGCGACAGGCCGTCTATGGGAGACGTTTTGAGGAATCTTGAGCATGTACTTAAATTACAAGAGGCTTGTGGTCTTGTTCCTCATACGGAATCTGGAGAATCTTCCACAGCCGAGTTCTCGGAGATTTTGAATAAAAAAGAAGATGAATGAGGCTGCAGTAAAAGGCAGGCTTATATACGATCTCAGAATAATTTCTAGCTCTTACAACAGAGATCATGGCAAATTTTATGCCTATTGTATTTCTCTGTTTAGGTTTGGTAGTGATTAATGTCATAGAATTTTCATCAAATCTTATGTTGACATCTTGGAATGAAGTTATTGTTTGGAAATGCAATTGCCATGTGCCATGTACGATATTAATTACAAGTACAATTAAGACTAATTTGGGATCAAAGAAAAGCTCATACAGATGGTGTTCCAAACAAAAAAACAAGTATGAAAAAGGAAATAATATATAAACACAACATATGGTCTAAATCTTGAGAATTATACGGAGTATATTACTCACGGACTGCCGGCCATGCCCAAATCTCAGCTTAATTGTTTTCAGTTCCACATTATGCATGTGCGGACGTGCCTTCGAATACCTTTTTTCTTCTAGTTTTTGTTAGTTTTCCAATCCTCAAAAAAATTACTCCGTAGTTAGTAAAGTAAATGAGCCCTCATTTACACACGAGTGAAAGATCTTACACTTTACAAATATATCACTCACCCATTAAAATAAAGAAATTGAGTCCTTTTTATGTACTGGTATCATTAAGATGATAACTTTCTCGTAAATTATTGGCGCCAGCATGTAAGAAAGGCTTGATTGTTTTATTTCAATTGATAGAGAAATGTATTTCTTAGGTCTTCTGGAGTTCCGGTATAGGGTTTGATCGTAGAATTGCTAATAATTGATGGCTTATTTGCTATTTTCTCTTTCTTTAGTATCATAAATTTTCCCAAAAAGCCGCAATACTCTCATAGATAGAGAAAATGTACTATAGTAGGCGCACATTTTACTCTTCTCATACACTATTCGTGGTGATGTTTATTGAATTTATTTGGTGATGAATAATTTATGCTTGTCAACATTGACCAAATTTTTAATACTACATATGATGAAAATACATACATTTATTATGTCATATAAGTTCAAAAGATGTCAAACAATTTTACAATATTTAGGTGCACTTAGAAATTGCCAAATTTTATAGTCAATTATTATCATTGGGAGCATAGGCAGGACTAAGGAGCATCAATGAGTTATTATAACAAATTTCTTCAAGTAAATTTTTACACATAAAATATTGAGTACTTTTCAAATTGACCGGTTCAATTAGGCCCAACACCTATGTCCCGGCCATCTAGTATATCACATTACCACCTCATCATGAAATACTCGTAGCTATTTGGTGTTCACCAAATGATCAAAATAAGTAACCAATGGACTTAATTTTGCTTTTCAAATCCCAAGTGTGTCACACGAATGCACGATGAGTCTATTGATCTATAACTGTGGAGGACCAAGGAGGCATGGAACCAGTCTTGAACAATTTGTAGTAATAATTAGGTAACAGACTGATTTTGATTATAAAGGGAGGTTTACTAGTTAAATATGAGATTTGATTTTTTTTTTAATAGTTGATGGGGTGATTTAATCCATATTTCCAATGGAACCAAAGACTCATTTTTATTTTTGTTTAGGAATATGATCAAATAAAGTAAAATGACTCAATAAACTGTTTGCAATTCCTTTGTTATGAAGTAACAATCTGTGTATTCAATTTTCAACACAAATTTCATCATGTGTCATTTGAAAACAGTATCTATGTCCCTCCATATCATACTCTATCTTATGTTGTTTTTGATGGGGTGATTTGGAGTTTCTTTTAGTCCGGGAATTCCATGATTATTAGGAACTACGAAGTACTTCGTATTTATTAGGCACTTCACTTTACACGGAGTAGGCTTTTTATTTAAAATTTTAAGGTGTAGGTTCAAGTTATCAGAGAAGAACAATATTTGTATAGATTGGGGAGCCCAAAAAAACCAGTTTAATGTTGGTAATTAGTTGAAATAATCTTTAAGCATAACTAATCAATCAGTTGATTTATTTTAGACAAAAAAATATGTGGAAGAGGTACTGAAGCAACAGCAGCCATATGATTTTAGCAAATTAGCACCATTCATACAGCGATAGAATTGTTCAAAGTCTCCATTGAAAAGTGGCTTCCCACACGTTATAACAATTTATAAACACATGACCTTCCCTAAGCATACAAACAAACTAGCTAAACGCAACACTAAAATACACTTTTTCCCATCTTTAATTTGTTGCTTCTATAAGGTGAAGTTGATCAACCAATAGTGTAGCTAATTAAGAAGGCCGGGAAAGGAGTAGCCCCTCGATTTTAAAGATGCCCATTCAACGGATAGCGATTGGAAACCCGGGTGAGGCGAGCCACCCGGATGCGCTCAAGGCCGCCTTTGCCGAGTTCATTTCCATGCTCATTTTTGTTTTTGCCGGTCAAGGCTCGGGCATGGCTTTCAGTATGTTCTAAATGCTCTATTTTTAGTTGAGATGAACCACATTTTAGTTGATAGACACAGAAACACGGAGTAGAAGCTAAGAAATCCGATTCAACCGTAAAATGTTAATTGAGATTCTGAATAGAAGCTAAGAAATCCGATTCTACTGTAATATAGAAAGTGTATATTATTCGATATCAATAGTAATAATGATTATTACAATTATTAATATAATCATAATTAGTTTATATGGAGCAATGGATGTTACATTGTTACTTAATACTAATGAGTTTAGATGTTTGTTTCCAGGCAAATTGACAGACGGTGCAGGAGCAACTCCTTCGGGGTTAATCGCAGCAGCATTAGCCCACGCATTGGCACTTTTCGTGGCAGTTTCAATTAGCGCCAATATCTCCGGTGGCCACGTCAACCCCGCTGTCACATTTGGAGCCTTTCTTGGTGGCAATATCACTCTTCTCAGGAGCATCGTTTATTGGATAGCTCAATTGCTTGGATCTATTGTCGCTTGTGTCCTCCTCAAATTTGCCACTGGTGGAATAGTAAGGAAATTCCTTGTAATAAAAATATACTCATGGCCACTTAGGCACTAGGCTTAATGAGCGTTTGAGATTGCTTAATAAACGCTTCGGTGCCTTTGACTTAAAAGAATATATTCGGAACTTGAAAACAATATACAAACTCATTTCGCGTTCTAAATTAGTGCTCGGTTAGAACTTGAACCTTACCCATGGCCCCTCTAAAATATCTACCTTCCTGATGTGCTGGTGCAGGAAACGTCTGCATTCGCTTTGTCAACTGGGGTGTCAGTGTGGAATGCGATTGTGTTCGAGATGGTGATGACCTTCGGGCTGGTGTACACTGTGTACGCAACTGCGGTGGATCCAAAGAAGGGCGATTTGGGCACTATTGCGCCCATTGCTATCGGTTTCATTGTTGGGGCTAATATCTTGGTTGGTGGGGCGTTTGATGGGGCATCCATGAACCCAGCTGTATGTTTCGGTCCCGCATTTGTGAGCTGGACATGGACCCACCACTGGGTTTACTGGTTCGGTCCGTTTGGTGGTGCAGCCATTGCAGCTCTCGTCTATGACAACATCTTCATTGGCAATCATCATCATCATGAGCAGCTTCCTGTTGCTAACTATTAGAAGCCACACATGGTTCCTTTATTCTTTTTTGTTATAGTTCTCCATCCTTTTTCTCTTTTTTACATAGGGATTTGCATTTTTTGTGTTTGGTGGTGAATAAAATGGGTGATAAAGAATATCCAAGATATGATACATTCAGGGGCGTAGCCAGGACACTGAGCTAGACTGGGCCGGGACAAAGAATATTATTGGGAAAAAATTTACACGAAATTTTTTACACTAAAAATATTGACATTTTTCAAATTTGGGGTGGGCCAGGGCCTAGCCTGGGCACCCCCTAGCTCCGCCCCTGGATACATTGATACTGCATGCTAACTCATATGAAACATGCAAAGGATGCATGAGCCAGGAGGCCTAGGGATCGTTTGGCTGAAACCGTTGATATTGTTGAATTTTCTAGAAAAGAAAAGCATTTAGTAAATTACATTTCAGCCAATAAGTAGGCCAAATGCTACTTATTCTACAACCTTCACAACAGTACATCTTTTAAGAATTTGTAAGGTACAATTATTCAATTCAAAGTATATTTATTTTTCTAATCTTTTTTATCCTTATAGCTCCAGTTTCATGTGTCGGTTCATGTTAGCCGACACCAAACTCTTTTGCGGTTAACGCTTGGATGTTGTTGTCGTTGTTGTTGTTGTTATTTAACAAAGTTGAACATACTAAATGATGAACAATTTTTGAATAATAAAAAACAAAAAGACCGTATAAATTGAAAATTACATTCCTTTTCTGGAATATAAATATGTTTTCAGATAGGACAATATTTATGTGATGAGGGAGTAGTGACATCCGCTATATACTCTGTATATCAATGCATTGTACTATTATTGAAATGTTTTACATAAGAAAAATAAGAAAAACTTTCCAGATAAGTAGACGTTATTGACTTTATTAACTTGTATTAGTTGTATAAGCATATTTAAGCAAAGTGTGAGCAACCTTTTAAAGCATATAAAAGATGCAAACTACACAAGCTATATGGTATTAGCAGAATATACCAGACTTTAAACGAGTTAATTTATACTCTGTATGTTACTCCGAGGATAGAGATGTGCTCGAAGAGGATATTTCATGACAGTGGTGAACTCTTGTTTTTCACTAAGATCAACATCATCAACACTCTTCCATTCAAAGTGCCAAACCAGGTTAGCCACAAAAAACTCCAGATGCAACAAAGCCAGAGACAAACCAGGGCAAATCCTCCTCCCAACACCGAAAGGCATCATCTTGATTTCTCTACTCCCACTTATATCAAACCCTTCCCCTCCTTTCAAAAACCTCTCAGGCTTGAACTCCATTGGTTCCTCCCACACCGTTGGGTCCCACCCCATATCAGCCACCATGAAATTGATCACAGCATTCTTGGGAATCAAATACCCTTCCATTTCGACTTCCTCAGTGACAGAGTGGGGAAGCACAAAGTGCCCAGGTGGGTGGCGTCTTAAGCCTTCCAAAACCACAGCTTTTAAAAATGGCATCTTTTGTAAATCTTCCTCTTTCACAACATCTTCAGATAAGGTTCCTATCACACCCAAGATTTCATCATAGAGCTTGGTTTGGATAGAAGGGTACTTTACCAAATTGGCCATGATCCATTCCAAAGCAGTGGAAGTAGTGTCTGTTCCAGCATTGAGAAATTCCCCACAAAGGGTAGCCATTTCTCCATAGTTGAGCTTCCTTTTCTCATCTGCCAATTCTAAATTCTTTAATGTATCTACATAAGATAACACCCCATCCTTATCTTCCTCATCTACTATTCCCTCTTTAGCCTCAATTCGGGATTTAATTATAGGGATTAAAGTTTTTTCACGATCTAGGGATACTTGAATCGCCTCATTCCAGAGATTCCTGAAAAAGTAATTCCCTATAGTAGGCCAGAAATTCAGTAAATAGAACCGACGAAAACTGAGAATAACCTTTCTCTGTGTAGCCTCAATCTGTTTAATCTGGGCTTCTTCGAGTTTATCTCCGAAGCACATTAAAGCAAGCAAGGAAAACATGGCGTGACGGAAATGGACGATTACCTGAACACCAGAGTCGGAACTTTCATTGTGGAGTCGTTTTAGAAGAGCTCCGAGAACCCATTGTCGGGCTTTCGAGTAAGACTTGACCCGAGAAGGGAGGAGAATCTCCGATATGAGATTGCGACGGAGGAGGCGCCATGTGGGGCCATAGGCGGCGGAGCTGATGTTACGGTGATTGCTATTGAGGAGCCTCGTAACAGGCGGCGATATCGGGCGGTCGGAGAAGATGGCGCCGTTTTGGATGAGAGCTTGATGAGCGAGGGAGTGGCTGGATATGAAAATAGACGGGGTTGAGCCGATTCGGAGAGTGAAGAGAGGACCATACATTGATTTCAGGTCCCGGAGAATGGGTTCGAGCTGGAAGGATCGACTCCGCCATAGGATGTTTCCGATCAGCGAGGCTATGGACGGTCCCGGAGGGAGCTTGTTGGACTTGCCGGAGAAGATCAGCGAGAAAAGAGGCTTGAGGAGGAAGGAAGCGCAGAGAGAGCAAAAGAGTGTGAGTAACCAGCTAGTTTCCATGCTCTCAAGCTCGTACCCAATTTGATGATGATGACAACGGTTGAACCTTTTTTGGTTTATACTATCCGTTTTTCATGACAACATGTTGAATAATACGGTTCGTTTTCCAGCTAGTAACCAGTATTCACACTTTGTTAGTAATATACGGTTCGTGAATAATACAATAATACGTACGTTCGTGTATAATACGACACAATTATATAAAATACGGCTTAATATATGTTTCATACGTTCGTGAAGTATATAAAGATACAGACGCGTTTTAAACGTCTCACAATTTAAAAATACGGCATATAATATGTGTCTTATATACTAATTTAATGATAGAAATAAAAAGTTATTTAGCATTTGAACCACATTCTTCAACAATTTAAAATGTACGGAATAATTTTTTCATATATACGGATTTGAACACATAAGTACAATAAGTAATAAAAATGGCATTGCCTATTTGAGTAGAAGTAGAGAGATATTATTAGAGAATAGTTGATATTACTGTGACCGTGAGTTTCGTGAGCCGCCACAACATTTTACGATCTCTTTGGAGTCTTGGTATGTGTGGAGAACATTAGTAGTACAATAGTAGTATTGAAAAGGATTACGAATTTAAGAAGCTAATTTATTAAATGTAATGACTATGAAACAATTAAAGAACATATAAGGCATAATTTTTTTAAGCAATATAAATAATATTGAGCAGCTAAACATTTCGTTTCAGTTGTATCACTACATTTGGCTTCCGTTTAATGGTGTGTGTTTTTGAATAAAATATGTATCAATACATACAGTACGTGTATTATACATTTTATGCTTAAAGTACGTGAGGTTTCCAGAATTTTCTGAAAAATTCATAAACAAGAGTATTATACGGGAATAAAATACGTATCAATACGTACGGTACGTATATTACACATTTTATTCTTAAAATACGCGAATTTTTCCGAATTTTTTGAAAAATTCATAAACGGGAATATTATACGCGAATTATACGTTTGAGTGTATTATACGCGAATTATACGCGAATAAACTAACAGAGTATTCACATATACTTTCATTACATTTTACGATATTATTTTATGAAAATTATTTTTTAAAAGTTTTTTGTTCAATTCATCTCATTATAAATTTTCAAAATCCAATTTTTAATTATTTTTTACTAATAAAGATTAAGATATAATTACGGCCAAAGACGTGAGTTGGCAAGAGTGAAATGTTGACCGTTGCAACTAAAAAAGAATGGATGAAGTATTTTTTTTTTTAATTTAAATACTTCTAGCATCAATGATGTGGGATAATATTTCAAACTTACATATGTAATATACTACATATACCTGAATTTTAGATGAAAATTTATTTTCGCACCATGATTATATGCCCTCTTACAAATATAATTTTATTGTAATAATTTCATGATTTAAAACACTCTAAACCTTGTTAGAATTTATTTAACATTCTAAAATTTCATTGGTAAAATAAATAATATTACATTCGATACAACTTAATTTTAATTTGGGAAGTTGGGATAAAATAGTATTTGGGTTGCACAATAACTACTCTTATTTCAACCCAATCAACTAATATAATTTATTTTACATTATATTGGGCTCATATAATTAATAAGATGGCCCACTAAGTTTTAGATGGTTCCTATTGTTATGTGCCTTCCTATTATATATTATTGATATTTTTAGGAAGTTGGGACAAAATACTATTTGGGCTGCGCAATAACTACTCTTATTTCGACCCAATCAACTTGTATAACTTATTTTACATTATATTGGATTCGTATAATTAATAAGATGACCCAACTAAGTATTAGATGGTTCCTATTGTTATGGGCCTGATAAATAGTTTACTTAAGAGTCAATTATCAAAATAGGACTAAAAGTCATTCACTTTGCAGAAATAGGACAAAAAAATAAACTATGTTTCTATAGGACTAATTATGTGTGTCTTGGACAAATATACCCTTATACCTATTGGAATGTTTTAATTCATAATAAAATAATAAAAAATAATGAAAATTCGTAAAATACTCAAAAAAATTAATAAAAATATTTTGAATAATAATAAATTTAAAAAAAAATTCAAAAAAAAAATTAAAAAAAATTTAAAAAATGCCGCCCCAGCACCACCACCCCTATTCATTTGGGAAAAAAATGCCAAATTTATTATGAATTCCATATTTTAGGCATAATTCAGAATGATTTAAGATGGCAGAAACAAATGTTGGCATTGTCAAAGAGAAATATGTCATATTTTTGGCATTTTCCGAAAAAAATGGAAGTTTGTAGGAAATATGGCATTTTTTTAACGGTCGAAGGTAGTGGTGCAGGGAGGCGGTACCACCACCTCCTGTCACCGGGGTAAAAAAATGCCAAAAAAATTATGAATGCCATATTTTTGGCAAAATTCAAAATGATTCAAGTTGACAGAATGAAAATGTTGGCATTCTCATACAGAAATATGCCATTTTTGTGGAATTTAAAAAAAGTGGCATTTTTTACACCGATCGGAGGTGGTGGTTGAGGGAGGTAGTACAGGCGGTGGGAAAGGTATCCATATATTTTTTAATTTTTTTATGGAGTTTTACTAGTTTTTATTAATTTTCAAAAAAAGAAATTATTTTTTTTCTTATTTTTTATTTTATAAAAATTTTATAATTTTTTTTATTATTTTTCTACGAATTATTGAAATTTTTTCGGATTTATTATGAATTAAACATTTAATTATGACTTTTAACTATCTTTTACTAATATTTAAAGAAGGGGTAAGAATCGAAGGAAGAAATGAGTATGTTTCCAATAGGACCACTATGGTCCTATTTTGGAATAAAAACATAGGAAGTCCTATTTTGAGTTTTTGCCATAGTTTTAGTCCTATTTGAAGTAATTTCTATTTACTTAATCATTTATTAATAATACGCTTAATCATCTTACACATGATAAATAATAGAAAATTAAAATACATAAATTGAACTTTAAATTGTAATTTCAAGTAACTCCCGACGTAGTGTCACACGCTTACTTTAAAAAATGGATCAATTTGGCCATTTATTCAGGTTTTTACGCGTAATAGCAGATTTTTTATATTAAAAACTTTGAACAATTGCTAAAATTTTAAGAAATATAGACAAAAATTGTGAAACTCCTTAGAATATTAAGGTCAATATTTTGAAAATTTGAAATTATTTTTATGTTCTACATCTATTCAAAAGGTTTTTACATTTTATATTTTATATTTCTTACATTTTAAAATTAGTTTTCAGTTTTCTGATTATTTATTTATTTTAAAGTCTCTAATTTATTTATCTTTTTTACATTAATGATATGTTTTATATTATTATTAGCTTATATTTCAAATTTATATGCATTTTTTAAGATTTATCAATAGTCCTTATTTATTTTTTTAAAAATAAGTTTCTATGGTAGGTGAAAATGGTGTCTTGATTGATCGTATAAAAAAAGAAAATGTATTTGTATAATGGTTTTTAGTAGAAGAAATTAAGTAATTAATTAAAATAGCAAGAAGGGTCTATTTAATCATCTTTCCTAAAATAAATGGAGCACTTAGTTATTCAATGATTATTATCATGAGGAGTAAGAATGTTTTTATTTGGACTGTTTTCAGTCCTAGATCGAATCAGACTAGATCTGACGAGACCAAACCAGTTCAGATCAGGTCAGACTAGACTTGAATAGTTATAAAATACATATAATTGAATAAACATGCATAATTCTTTAAGAATAATTAATAAAGTAAGCTATAAAAACATTGGAAGCATAAACATGCATAATTCATTAAGAATAATTAATAAAGTCATACATATAAATAAATTTGGTAAAAAACATTGGAAGCATAAACATGCATAATTCATTAATAAATGAGTGTCTTTCTTTAAAAAAAAACATGCATAATTCATTAAGAATATTTTTTTGAACATTCATTACGAATAATTAATAAAGTAATCTATAAAAATCAGAATTTCTAATTTAAAATATAATAATTGCTGACTATATGCTACGTTATATTCAAGCTAGCGTGAGAAATCTGGGTATAAATATTCAATAAATAATGATAATAAGTATGGAGTAGTAATGATTATTAGTAATTTTACAAATGATATAGGAAAAATTGATAGTAATAATCCCAACTATTGACGGTCCGCTTATAATAATCCCAACTATCGATTATTTCAGAATAATCCCAACTTTAGGGACCTTCCGCCAATAATGGTCCCTATAAATAAATTCTTGTAGTTTCTAAAGTGGATGAGGAGAGATATAACAAGTAATCCCTATAAATATTCCCAACTTTTAATTTTTACATTTAATTTCTATTTAAAATTCATTTTTTTGGAAGGTAATATCTAGTCATGGACCATCCCATTATTGGCGGATGGTTCATATAGTTGGGATTATACAAAAATAATCAATAGTTGGGATTATTATTTTCAATTTTCCCAATGATATATTGATATCTACTATACATATCTATCTATAAACTATAAAGTACGACGTAAAATATATAAATTCAATTGTTACAAGTTCGAGAAAAATGACAAGTACTTGCACTCAATTCAATTAAACAATTAAACAATCATAGAATTGAATTTAGTGGGCTTGAACATTAATTCATGTATGTACTACTACGTAAATAACAACCTTTATAATATACTTCGTATATAGTTTTGAAAGTATTTGTAAAATGAAAATAATATAAGCAGTACTTATTCTCTTATAACAATTTTTGTGTGAAATTATGATAGGATGATTTTTCGAATAAATCTTTAAATAAAAATATTGTATAACGTACCCATATAAATACAACCTTGGAAATGAACAATAATCACTGCGTTTTGAGAATGTTTGTGATTTTGATACGTGTGAAGGTGGCAGAGGTGCTCGATCTCTTTAGGTTTGCTAATTACCTCATCGAAATGATGGGTTAGATTTAAAATTTCCCTTTTAAATTTACGATCAAGTAGGTGGCTTATGCAATTGATCATTTTTTAGAGTAGGTGCATGAAGCTTCTACATTAGAGTGGCTTGTCATTGTGGACTGATTACAATTTAAACATTATTTACCCGTAAGAGAGAAACGTAACTAAAGTTTGGGTGATTAGAGCGCACCTTAATGTTACTTGTATCGCAAAACAGATTGGGACGGGGTATATATTTTAGACACATTGTTTATATATACTCCGTATTACTTCGATAGCTTTTCATTTTAAACTACTTTGGATGTTTTTGTACGCATATGAGCTTGAAGAAAATGAAAACAGTAAAATTTGAAGTTGAAGTCTCAGCTCATACAAGGAGAACGCATTTCATTACAAAAGAAAATTTTAATAGTATAAAGAAGAAAATAAATTTATAATTGTGAATAGGAATTGTTAAAAACAATTACAATTCTAACAAATTCTGTTAAAACAATTACGAATCATCTCCATCAGCGGTAGATAGGAGATGAATTCAATGTTTCATGTGGCGGGTACGTTCTCAGTTGAATCACGCCGGCTACCATAATAGTTACTAGGAGTATATCCGTCCCCCAATTCCCCAATTATTGGAACAAAGGAGAGTCATATGATTTTTTTTAAAAGTAGAGTTACGTAGTTGATAATGAATTAACAATGTAAGAATGAATCGGAACTAAACAAATAATTCGTATTACTAAATACTTCGTATGATATGAGACAAATTTAGTGGGACGAAAAATGAAAAATGAAATAATTATAATCAGACCGAGGGAATATGCGATTTTCTGATTTTCTTTTATATGGCGGTGGGTTTAGCCCAATTAGGGTCTATACCCGTCTCTTTTGCAATATGATTTGAACGTGTTACATTTTGATCATTTATAAGACCTTTCATAAACCCTTTATTATAAATAAATTACACCATTGCGCGCGGTATTTTTCAATAACTTAATTAACTGACACGATTTAATTTTCACTGAAATTTTATGGGTATAATCTAAACCTCTTGAAGTACATCCTCATACACTTTCATCAAAACACTCAACCGAAAACCATCTCAAATAGCGGAGGCCGGACGGAGAATTCGGTCCGGACTGCTGGACTCACTACCTTATCATATACTCCTTCCGGTCCCAAATCAACTTCGCACTCACTATTCATTGGTCAACTTAAATCACTCTTAATCTTTTACTTTATATATCTAATTTTTATCAAATTTAAATTTTCTTGATCAAGCTTTGTAGTGATTTTAATGTAGTTTCTGAATAAATAAATTTTATTTACTAAAAATAATTCGAATGTGAACAAAGATCGAGTTGCATTATGGTCAGTCAAGCATCGTAAACCGAACATGAATTTCTTTTTGGACCGGAGGGAGTATGACATTTCTCAATTACCAATCACAGAAGTTACGTACTACGCAAACGGTCTATACTCTATAGCTCTACAGTGGAATGTATGAGTATATCCTTGAGAAAATTCCCTAAATTGAACTTTAAAAAAATACTGTTTATAAATAAGATCATTGATGTTTAATTCCAAAAATAGGAATCATTCATTTCTAAATTGAGAAGTTTTATTCAATCTATTGTTTTAATAGGACTAAATAATTCTTTGTTTGAAGAATAAAACAAATTTAATACTACGGTACTATTTTAACAATTTGTAATTAATACTCAACATCAACATGCAAATTGTGTTTTGATGATTTATTTGTTAACTGGTTTAAGTGATATACTTAAGCATACGTCACTTCAACATACTTCGTACTTGTACTTATTTTAGCCATGAATTTCCAACTAACTAGGTACCACATTCTGACATTCTACATAGCATTCTGAAAACACGCCCTGGCGGGTCTGGACTCTGGATACATGGTGTCTCCTTTTCCTTTATTATCAAGCAATCAATGTGACAGTGTCGTGGCGGCTTTGTTTCCGATCATTATACTTTGTACTGTCGAAATGTATAAATATAATCATTTTTTTCTTTATTGTAAATGACTTATACGAAGTATTATATATTTATATCACTTGAAATTAAGTAGACAAAAACATATTACCTGATCATGAACCTCGGATATAGCTTAAAATCACTCAAATTAAGAACAATTTGACTCGCTAGTCCTAAAGGAGCACATAAACCAAACATGATCAATCTAGTCTCTTTGTCACTCATCTTATCAGTTCTATCCCGTTTTTTGGTTCATCCAATACCATATTTCCATCATTTGGATCTTCTTTTTCATGCACCTCCGCTTCTCCCGCTATATATGTCAAAGGTTGGGTCTTCCTCCTTTGTGGCGCCATTTGATATTGCCACTTCTAAGGAAGTCATCAAGTTTTTCATTTCCTTTAGGCCCTGTTTGGTTGGAGGTTTTTGGAGGGGAGGAAAGTGGGGGATTTGTGCGTGTTTGGTTGAAGGAAATAGGGGGAAGGGGAGAAAAGTGGAAGACTTCCAAAATCCTCCACTTCCTCCGATACTAAACCCCCCAAATCGGGGTATTTCGGAGGAAACGCGTTGATAACCACAAACTATATTCATCTCCTACGTGAATAGACAAAATGTTATAATATAAAAAGGTAAAAAATAAAAAGTTTTGAAAAATAAAAAATATTAAAATTTTAAAGAATAAAAATTAAATAACAAGATATTAAAAAAATTAAAAAATAAAAAATTTAAAAATTGAAATTTTAAAATTAAAAAATTAAAAAACTAAAAAAATTAAATATTTAAAAAATTAAAAGTTAAAAAATTAAAAATTTATAAAATTAAAAAAGTAAAAAAAAAAATATTATGACTCATGACCATAGGAGTAATATTCACCATAGTTAGAGATGTATCTATTTTGTTAAGTAAACTATCAAGTAAAGGTAAATTGAGAAAATACCTTTCCTCCTATTTCCTCCAACCAAACACAAATCTTTATCAAAATCCTTCCTCTTCCCTTCCCTCATTGACTCTCCCCTTCCCTCCCCTCCTTTGAACCAAACAAGGCCTTAGGGTTTGTTACGTTGCATATGAATCCGCCGGAATACCTCACAAGGGCCGACCACGAGAATGCTAAGCTGGTTGCGTTAAACCCAACTATTCCAAATGTAGATCTTCTCACAAGTAGATTAACTCTCCCACACATAGGGGACAGATATAGAAATCTAATGATCTAAGTCATTATGTGTTTCGTTTCTTTTAGGGAGTATTCCAACTAAGTTAACCCTGTACATAGGGGCGGATTTGAGAGTCAGGGTTAGACAGGGCTAGAGTGAATTATATTAGACTTAATCATTAGTGGAGTCATAAGTGAATTAAATATGAAAAACGAAAAAAATGAATGCTGAAAAAATTAAGTTGTCTTGGATAATAATGATCTTAGCTTCTTTGATAGGAGTTTGTCTCAGTTGTGCCGTCTCGTCGGAGTTAGCCTCTTACATGGAATATGGTAATGTTTGATTAATTACTGGTGATCCCCCCACATATAATTAGTTCACTGAAATGGGAAACACAAGATGTTAATAAAAATGATACTCCGTATTATCAAAATCCCGTGATGAATAGAGAGCCATTGATAAACATATAAAGTAAATTCAATTCCATGAATACTCCCACATTCCATTATTGGCTTGACTAACACTTGTGGCGGACTAAAAAAGTTTTTCAAGGATGGAGATTGCCACGCACCTAGGTGGGAAATGGTCGGGTTGAGTGGTCACTGATCTATTAGTCTACCCTTTCATATTATTATTTGTAATTCAGAAATGTAATATTGAATGTATGTGCATCTATGAATTATAATTCTAGTTTTGAAAAAGTGATATGAGACGTTTTGATTGAAATCAACATTTTGGGTTAGAAATGAATCATTCTTGCACTATTTCTGATTGGAATAGAATTTTTGTTATTTTTCATATTATAAAATTGTTAGAATTTCAGTTCTGATTGAGGATCATGTCCAATGCTATACGCTATGTCACAAAGCTTGTTGGTATTTGTTTTAAACATAATACTATCATGTCAAACGTTTATCATATTACGTAGTATATTCTAGGATCATATCCATTGTACTTTTTTTTGTCAAGAGACTGATAATTTTTCGTGGCAAACCGTTTTGACACAATTTTGACTCGAATTTGATAAGAATTTATTAATTTGTGCAAAATTATTGATCAAACTAATTGTAATTAGTGAGATAAATGATGAATGCATATTGTGTACGAATTTTTATTCAAGATAGAACCTTCAATCTATAAAGACCATCTCACATATTAGGAGTTTTGTCATATCTTTGACCTCTAACTTTGAACAAAGTTAATCTATACATGACAAAAAAATTGATAAATGCAGTTTTAAAAGAAAGTGTAGTGACAATATCAATAAAATGTGTATCTGCAAGGATTCACACCATCACAACTCCATGATAGTTTACATTTCACACTACAATTAACACGTGATTTGACACCTTATATATCACCTTATAAAACACTCTGGTGGTTTCTTTGTCTAGATAGAAAAGGCACATGTTTTATACGGCATACTTCGTATTAAAGTATTAATACTAAATAACCAAGCACTCCAGCCTAGCTGGCTGCGAGGTTACCGTGCCTAGTGGAAAGTTTCTAATTCGAATCCCGCTAGATACACAAGGGTTTGAAACTCAATAGAGTGAATTTCAGCCCTATTACTCCAGGCCCCCAGACCTTCTCCCCAGACCCTTTCTGGAGTAAAAAAAAGTATTAATACTAAATTTCCTAGTTGGAAGCGGGGCATTTGCCCAATGCCCTGGGCCCCCTTGTCATCACAATAACAAACATGCATCATATTCGGTATTCAACATGTTGGCGTGCTAAGTACGTACATACTTTGATAGTACATTCACTTCCAAGCATTATCCATTAGTATCCTCCGTCTTTTTTTAATCGTAACATGTTGAATTTTACACTATTCACATGTTCTACTTTGACTACATTTTATATTATCATTTTATGAAAATTATTTTTAAAGAAATATATTGTTCAATTCATCTCATTACAAATTTTCAAAATCTAATTTTTAAATATTTTTTACTAATAGAGATTAAGATATAATTACGGTCAAAGTCTTAAAGACATGCGTTGACAAGTGTGAAATGTTGACCGATGCAACTAAATTAAAGCCATGGATGCATAACCTATACACATAAAATCCAGATCACAGATCACAGATAGGAAATTAAAGATTACATTATACTAGTGATTATTAATAATAAATCTATCTAAGGCGAAGTAAAGCACGCAGGGGATATTTCATTACATAAGTGAATTCTTGTATTTCATCAAATTTTACCTTTTCACCCTCATCTTCCTTCCACTCAAAATGCCAAACCAGATTTGCCACAAAATACTCCAAATGCAGTATGGCCAACCCCCAACCCGGACACATTCTCCTACCCGACCCGAATGGCATCATCTTTATTTCTCTGCTCCCCGTTAAGTCAAACATCTCGTCTTTATTACCCGCCGTATTTAAGAACCTCTCGGGTTTAAACTCCATCGGGTCATCCCACACATTCGGGTCCAGCCCCATCTCCCCCACCATGAAGTTTATCGTCGCGTTCTTCGGGATCGTGTACCCGCCGAGCTCCGCCTCCGCCGACACCGCGTGCGGAAGCACGAAGTGGCCGGGCGGGTGGCGCCTCAGACCTTCCAGTACCACTGCTTTCAGATACTGCATCCCTGTTAAATCTTCCTCTCCGACGACGGAGAGCCCGTCGTTGTCGGGGATTTTCCCCGGCGGCGGACCCATCACGGATGATATTTCTCGGTAGAGCTTCTCTTGGATTGAATGGTGCTTGACCAGATTCGCCATGATCCACTGCAGCGCGGTGGAGGTAGTATCGGTCCCGGCGCTGAGGAATTCGCTTACCAGGCTAACAATCTCGCCGTCGTTGAGATTCCGCTTCTCCTCCGGCAGCTTTAGATTCAAGAGCGTGTCTACGTAGGCCACGACTTGTCCACCAATGAGGGTGTTCGTGAGTCATGACTCATGAGAAATTTTCTTAATATGTATGAGATTGTTATTTTTAGAATAATATGCACCACATACACACAAACATATGGTGCATATTATATTTTAATATTTTTATTAATTCTATAATAATTTAAAGTTTATTATCCATGCAATAAATTATTTTTAGAAAGCAAGAAGTAAATGAATTATGTAATCTAATGTCTATAAATATTTATATTTTGGATTCATTTCACGTGATCTAAAAGTTGTGTAATTAGTGTGTCTGATATTTAATATTGTTTAATATATGTTTTACAAAATCTAGTACTTGTTATCTAATAAAGATAATTAAACATTACAAAACTATGAATTCTTATATAATAAGTATCCTAAATCTTAAATAACGAGTTACTCTATTGTTTATTTGTTTAAGTTATGTAAATTATTTTAGATGTTTCTTCTTTTAAATCTCCAATTAAGTATTACATTATGTAAAACTATATACTAATTTTGAAAATTAAAAAAGCTAAGGGGGGCGAATCTAATTAAATTATGAAAGTTTTATGAAAATATTACATATATGATAAAAAAAAATTGAATGTCCAAGGGGGGCGGTCGCCCCCCGCGCCCCCCTCCTAAATCCATCCCTGATTGTAAGAAGACTGCTAAAATGTGGGATTATTAGTTTCCATTTTCCTATATATATATATGTATATATATATATATATATATATATATATATATATATATGGGTTGGGTGGGGGTTGAGTGGGGGCAGCTGCCCCCTGCCCCCACGTTGGATTCGCCCCTGGCTACGCCTCGAATAAAAATGCTAGAGATTATTGATCCAACATATCTCATCTTGCCCAGAGGTTAATACACGGGGAAATGTAGTTCACAAATCAGAATTCTTTATTTATAAATGTAAAATTGATATATACTCCATAGAAGTGTAGAAATACAAGGAGCTATCCACCCAAAATAGCTCCAATTACAATGGATTCCATTTTTTAAACAAAAATGATTTACATGTCAATTGTATTCTTGAATAAAGCGATAATCAAAATTGTAATAAAATATTCAATGTATTTAGGTGTAAAAAATATGAATATCTTCAAACTAATAATGTAATATATAGTAGTGTGATATTTAAAATTTTGTTCAAAAAAATAAATTTTAATACCATTTAATTTCAAAATTTTGTAAAATATAAAACGTTGAAACAAACACAGGTGAGTCTCAACGGCAAGCTTATGGTAGCTTACTATGTAAGATTAAATCTAGAATTCACATATAGTCCTTTCACCTTCCTTGAGGAGCATTTATACATGGGGATTCTCTTTTTGTTTTTCACATATAGTCTCTTTTTGTCTGCGTAAGTGTTTACAAATTTGGTTGTATTTGAAAGAGGCAAGATAGACGCGTTGTCGATAAAAGAGGCTATTTCGAGAACACAAGAGTATCGACTATCGACATATCACATACGGAGTATATGGACTGAAGTGATCAAATGGGAACATGAATCCTTCAGTCCAGAATTTATGTTTATTGCACTCCTCGAATTCTAGCTTTTTAATTTTTTTAGATCAAAGATAATTTTTACTGCTCCGTATATTTTTAACATATGTAGCCATGATATATATTAAGCTTTTTCTTAAATATTACGTAGTACAACTATATACGAAGAGTATATTTAGACTATACAAACATTTCATTTGCATTGCTCACCTTTCTTTAATTTTTCTCCTTTTATTTTAGGTATTTTTTATTAAATTCAAACCTTATGTATTAATATTTCGTATATGCTTCTTATTTATGTTTAACTATTGCAATTTATTAGTACCATTAAGTACATTAAAAAACTTAGTATTAGTGTTCTCATAATTCATAAACATTCTTCCGTTCAAAGCACTTGCGAGTTATTATTTATTTTCATCGATTTGTAATTTTGATTAAACGAAATATTTGTTTGTAGTAGGGTTAACGGTAGTTTAAAAAACATAGATCGGGACAATAAATGGGATAAGGGCCAAAAATGACATTAAAGTTTTCACTGAATTTCAAATTGGACACTATGATTTTAAGTAGGTCAAATAAACACTAAACTAAACTTTTTGATTCACTTTCAGCCACCCTTAACATCTCTGGTTCATTTCTCAGTTATCACCTGGTCTCTCATTACAAACTCCCAAAAGATGCAAACCCAAAATCGATTGAGGTACACAAATAAAAAAAAAGTGCGAAGCGCTTGATTTCTCGTTCCCAAAGAAATTCCCAAAGAATGACCAAAAGCTCGACACAAGCACTGTCTATATATGACTGCTCTCCATTCTCTTTCTAAACTGACTATACCCTGCTCCCAAGACTTATTAGAGCTAAATTAATATACTCTGTATGTGTTTGCAGAGATGGCACTGCATATGGAAGCTTCGGTAAGCTAGGAAATTAGGTTTATATATTCATCTACTTTGTTTCGGCAGGGCTGGTTAGAGCAGATTGCTGCAAGGACTGAAGCATATGATTTATTCCCAAAAACACGACATTGTGAATTAAAGTTTCTTAATTTTTCTTATCTGCTTAAATGAAAACGAAATTGTGATTTATTCCCTAAACATATACAGTGTTAACAATGGGGAAGAGATAAAGGGATGGGTTGTTAACGACGGTGAAGAATTGTTTAACAGGGGTTAAAGGGTGGTCAAAATGGAACCAAAAACTTTAATTTTGTATTTATTTTGTATACTTAAAACTTTTGTGTTTAGTTCGATATTCATTAAAAACGTTAGTTTCATTTTTGGTCTTTTGCCTGACAATAAATGGACGGATGCATATTGCTTCCATGTTAGTCGTTGGACAAATTTTACCGTTTATATATATTAGTTGGACTAATAATTAAAAAATGGAATATATGCTCACAGCCTCACACATTTTCTTTAAAATAGCAGTTCAATGAATTAAATCACTTTGCTTTTTATTTCACTTTATCATCGTCATCTATTATTCTTAATACGAACCTTCTACTGTTCCAGATTTTTATATTGTTACAGGTGATGAACAATTTATGTAGTACTTGGTATATAAGAAAGACTCATCATTCAATTTAGAAGAAATATTTTGGCTCATTGACTATTTTGTTCTCCATTTGTTGATTTACGGGGGATTTTCACATGTTTTAGGAGATGTTTACACAACATGTACGGAGTACAACTTCCATAATAATCATATAGATAAAGAAATCATTTCGGTGTAGCAAAAATAGATAAAAGCGCTTTTAAAGGAGTTCTATTACAATTTTAATTTACAAAGACGTCATACGTGATAAGTTACCTCGATCGACCATTGCTATACTTGACTTAGTTGGTACGTAGCATTCGTTTAATTGTTTTAGTCGGCATAATGGTAAATAATTGAAATATAACTGTGCCTAATTACTATCATAATTAACAATAATATTTATATTATTATTGATTGAGTTTGTTTCTTTTTATCACCTTCTAATTTAGTCCCTTTTTGCATAAAACACTTCATATATTACATTGATATTATTTTATACGTTTATAAATATTTTATGTATATCATTTAAATAAAAGGTTTCATCCGTGCATCGCAAGGTGAAATACGAGTTTCCCTAAATCATTGAGTAAATCATGTAGTAGTAATATTTATAAATAGGACTATTGATGTTTAATTCCAAAAATAGGATTGAATAAATCTTATTTAGAGAATAAAAAAAACTTAATACTCCCTCTGTCCCTGAAATTTTTTTCAACTTACTTTTTTGGACTGTTCCAAAAAATTATTCTCGTTTCCCTTTTTGAAAAGGTTTTTGTGTCTATCATTTATTTATCTTTTTCTTACTCAATCACAACCATACATTTTCACTTTATTCCCACTTTTAAAACTCCGATTCAAGTCAAACCAGGAAGAATTTTTTGGGACGGAGTGAGTACTATTTTAAATTTGGTGTATGCTTTACTCACATGTTGATCACTTTTTAAAATTATATCATAAAAAACAATTTGTAATTAATACTCAACATAACATACAAAATGTGTTTTGATGATTTATTTGTTAACCGTTTAAGTGACATACTTAAGCAATACGTCACTTCAACATACTTGGTACTTGTACTTATTTTAGCCATGAATTTCCAACTAACTGAGTATCACAATCTACTTAGAATTCTAAAAACACGTCCAAGCGGCTCTGGAGTCTGGACTGTGGATACGTGACAATATCGTGGCTGCTTTGTTTCCAATCATTTTGTACTGACAAAATGTATAAGTATAATCATTTTTTTCTTTATTGTAAATGACTTATATTAAATCACTTGAAATTAAGTACACAAAAACTTATAACCCGATCATGAGCCTTAAATCAGATTTAAAAAACCACTCATCACTCACTAATTAAGAACAATTTGAAACACTAGTCCCAACCTATGTTGCACCGATACTTCACTTCGATGCCGTATCCGCGTATCTGATACGTATCCGTATCCGATACTCACCGATACCCGTCCTGTACGTATTGGGTCCGTATCCGTAATTTAATAAAAGTATCGGGCTTAATTTTAAAAATACCGATACTTCCGATACCCGTATCCGTGAACCGATACGCGTATCTGAACCTATAACCCCTCATTTTATACACGACATGACGAAAATTTAGTAGCCAACCAAACGACCACAACATGTGGAACATTGATAAAGATGGTTTCGGGAGTATGAAAAATAATGGAATACTATAATTTGACATTTCATTGCTTGATGATATTTAATTGAAACAAGACTTGGATGTAAATGCAAATAGAGAACAAAAAAAAATTATTTGAATTTAAATCAAAATATCAATACTTTAGTTTTTAGACTAATCTTTGAAACTTTATTATAATAGTTAATTTTTTGTACTATTATTATTATTTTATTTATGAACCCCTGAATTATATATATTTGCAAATTATACCCTATATTTTTATTATTTATAAATATACCCCCGTACCCGTATCCTATAATTTTTGAAAGTGCCGTATCTCCGTACCCGTATCCGCGTATCCGCGTATCGGCGTATCCGTATCCGTGCAACATAGGTCCCAACACGAGCGCATGTAAACCAAACATGATCAATCTAATCTACTAGTCTCTTCGTCACTCATGTTATTTGTTCATATCTTCTTTTTTTGGTTCATCCAATACCATATTTCCTTCATTTGGATTTTGGACCTTCTTTTTCATGCATATTGCCTCTTTCTAAGG